ACCTATTGGGACGGTGGCTGTTGCAGAGATTCCGGTGAAGGTCAGGCGAGGGGGAGATGATTTTAGCTTTGAATTCAACGAAGAAAGAAATCATTAAAGATTCTATTTATGGGCAGTTTTGACTCAGAGAGATCTCGAAATGCAGTAAGAAAAAACAGAGAGAAAAAAGGGAAGGGAAGGAAACAGAGACAGCTCTGTTTTGGAAATCTTAAGAGGGAAAGGTAGGAGAAGAAGGGGTGACGTGGCAGCCACGTGAGCATTCAACAGTCAATCAGGGAGGTGCATGTGCGAACCTTGACCGGGTTCTGTGTATTTACATTCTTGTCTCCTTTCTCCCCTCGTTAACCCTCCATTCTGAACCTTCTTTTTTTCTTTTCTTGCGTTTTGGTCCCTGCATTTTCCTCTATTTCCGCAAACATCCCTTTTTCTCAACTACCCCATGCAAATTGGCAACTGCGCCCAACATTATTAATTTACTACGTAAATATTGTCCGTTTTGGCCCGTTACGTATGTCTCACGACGTCTGTTCGGGAGAAATTTCCACGCTTTTATAGGAATGTTTTTCGTTCTCCTCTCAAACTGATGTGAGATCTCGGAATCCACCTTCTTGAGAGCTAGCGTCTTCGCTAGCACACCGCTCGTGTCTGGTTCTAATACTATTTGTAATAGCTCAAACTCACTGCTAACAGATATTAGGAATGCTTTTCGTTCTCTTCTCAAACTGACGTGGGATCTCGCAATCCACCTTTTTTAGAGTCCTGCATCCTCACTAGCACACCACTCGGTGTCTGGTTCTAATACTATTTGTAATAGCTCAAACTCACCGCTAGTAGATATTGTCCACTTTATGTATCGTCGTCAGCCTCACAATTTTAAAACGCGTCTACTAAGAAGAGGTTTTGTTACTCTGATAATGAATGTTTCATTTTTCTCTCCCACTGATATAGGATCTCACAATTCACTTGTATCTTGGGGTCAGCGTCCTCACCAGAACACTGCTCAATGTCGGGATCTAATACTATTTATAACAGCTCAAGCTTACCACCGGACACTTTTTAATTCTTTATTAAGTAATGGTAATGGTAATGAATGATTAGATAATAATACAATAGAATCAAATGATTGATATCATCTCTTATTATTATATAAATAAAAGACCCCAACCGCAAGCTCATGGGTTATTATATTCATTTAATTCAATTTTATATGTTGTCCCAACCATTATTTTACCACTTAATCCAAGATCTAAACATGATTTAAAGACTCATATTATGATCTTTATTTAATTCGCTCGATTAAGAAAATAGTACGTGAATTAATCGAGATCACGTTTAAATAAGAGTGATATTGATTATATGATGGTGACTAAATACACGTTCTTTCTTGGTGACTAAACAGTACATACTCGTAATCCTTCAGAATTTTTTTTAGAAAACATACGAGTAAGACAAGACATGATTAAAGAACTCGTATTAGTTTATGGTGGTAATCTTTATGTTCTAAATTGTCGTGAAGATGAATTGTCATGATTCTCATTTATTTTGGTTATTAAATCTCATTTAGTTTGTCAACACTCTAGTTATAGTGATTGATTACCACCTGTAGATGTAGGAGAATTTCTTCTCTCCAAATCACGTAAATTTTTGTGTCTGTTTGTGGGTGTGTGAGTGCAATCGATCTTGTTTCCGCTTTTGCTACAACAATTGGGTATCAAAACATTTTGGTTGTAGCATTCCGCTACAACAAGTGATATCAGAGCATTGAAGGTTGTAGCTTTATGGCACAACAAGTAGTATCAGAGTATTGAAGATCGTGACATTACGACCCACAACAAGTGATATCAGACCATTGAAGGTTGTGACATTACGATGCACAACAAGTGATATCAACTCATTGAAGGTTGTAGCTTTACAGCACAACAAGTAATATTAGAGCATTGAAGGTCGTGACATTACGACACACAACAAGTGATATCAGACCATTGAAGGTTGTGACATTACAACGCACAACAAATGACATTACGACACACAACAAGTGATATCAGACCATTGAAGGTTGTGACATTACAACGCACAACAAATGATATCTGATCATTGAAGGTTTTAGCTTTACAGCACAACAAGTAATATTAGAGCATTGAAGGTCGTGACATTACGACACACAACAAGTGATATCAGACCATTGAAGGTTGTGACATTACAACGCACAACAAATGAAATCTGATCATTGAAGGTTTTAGCTTTACAGCACAACAAGTAATATTAGAGCATTGAAGGTCGTGACATTACGACACACAACAAGTGATATCAGACCATTGAAGGTTGTGATATTACGACGCACAACAAGTGATATCAGACCATTGAAAGTTGTGACATTACGACGCACAACAAGTGATATCAGCTCATTGAAGGTTGTAGCTTTACAGCACAACAAGTAATATTAGAGCATTGAAGGTCGTGACATTACGACACACAACAAGTGATATCAGACCATTGAAGGTTGTGATATTACGACGCACAACAAGTGATATCAGACCATTGAAAGTTGTGACATTACGACGCACAACAAGTGATATCAGCTCATTGAAGGTTGTAGCTTTACAGCACAACAAGTAATATTAGAGCATTGAAGGTCGTGACATTACGACACACAACAAGTGATATCAGATCATTGAAGGTCATGACATTACGATGCACAACAAGTGATATCAGACCATTGAAGGTCGTGACATTACAACGCACAACAAGTGATATCAGACCATTGAAAGTTGTGATATTACGACGCACAACAAGTGATATCAGACCATTGAAGGTTGTGATATTACGACGCACAACAAGTGATAGCATTGCGATGCGGGTGCGGATGGGTGAGGGCCCATGTTGGTATTATGATGGCTGTATTTGCAACACTGAGACAGAAAACCCCATAAGAAAACACCCAAATCTTGCTTGGACTTGGTACACACACCATTGAGGCCCCTCCATTTCCCCCCACTTTCTCTCTTTTGTTCCTTTCCTCACAGCACATCATGTTACTCAACTCTCCCACACTTCCAATCACTCCAAATTCCCTTTTTTTTCAGCATCAAAATCCATTCGGGTACGATAAGATAACTAAAACATAAAAATTTGACGTCTCGGGGTCGTATATATTAGCCACACAATTCTATCGAACGCCTTTTTACATCGAGAGGAGTTTCATTTTAGGGTAGCTAGGTAGAAGCAAATTGGATTGAAAAAGAAAACACAGCCAAAAAAGGATCGAATCAGTTCGTTACATCGTGAATCGGAGAATGAATGAATGAAAAGACGGGTTGGTGGACAGTAGCATAAACCAAAAACGTACAGACATATAGAAAGCTGATGAAGTTGAGAGATTCCACTTAGTTTTAGCCACAATTTTCATGGATGGATGTGAAACTTCCAACATTTTTTTGTAGCTAATCTCGTTGTTGGTTCTTTGTTGGTGTCTTTTCCTTCCCCACCTCCCATATATCTCGACTTTCGGTTCTCATACACGGTCGCGTGTGTCGCATAAAAATTTTGAACAAAAAAAATCATGTCTTTTCATTTTAACTATTTCATCGTAGTTGACTCTATTTCTTATTATATAAGAATCGAGGTCGTAAATTCTATAAACAACAAACCCATTTGGAGTTTTCAATTGCCCGAACCCATCCAACCAAATACCTCCAAAACTGAAGTTGTTGATTGAATTGAATTGAATTGGGTGAAGCAACTCATGCCTTTGAGTCTAATGAATCAGATTTAAAAGGGTCATTTCATGTTCAATTGGACCACAACTTCAATAGTTAAGACTTTAATACATCGAGTGTTATGCCAGCAAGAACGTTGGGTTCCAAAAAGGATGATCGTGAGATCCCACATCGATTAGAGAGGTGAATAACATCGATTGGAGAGGAAAACGAGCGCTAGCGAAGACGCTGAGCCGAGGAGAGTAAATTATGAGATTATACATCGATTAGGGAGGAGAAAGAAATATTCTGTGTGAAAAGACATAGTTATAAAAACTTTGAGCAAAAGCCTAAAATATGACAGTGGTCTAGCACGGTTACATAAATATCAAACCGTTCCAATATTGGTCCATTCATAATACACGGACTATAAGTAGGGGCAATATTGGAATTTTGCTCCTTATTAAAAAAAATTAATCTTTATTTATTTTTTACTTTTTAAAGATTTTATTATGTTGAAAAATTGATAGACAGATATTCTTAGGGATGTAGTAAGCAAAAAAAGACAAAATAAAGGGTAAAAAGGTACAAAAGAAAATTGGTATTTTCTCATTTTTTATTTATTTATAATTTACTTTATTCTGTAATTAAAATTTTGATAAATAATAATATTATAGGTACTTTGAAAAGCTATCCTTCATCCTTCCTTTGACCCTATTATTATTTTTTCTTTCTTTCTTTTCCCTTTAATTATTAATGCTTATCTTTAATTCAAATTTAATGCTCTCATTTTCATCCTATCTAATTTTGTATTTAATAATCATACATTTATATCCAACTTCCTCTTTTTTAATTAATTTTAAAGATATCAAAATTATTTTATTCATATATATATCCCGAAAAAATAACCGACACACAGGTCAGTTCCTAACGATTGTGTTCGAGCAAGCTAAGATGGGCAATATGTCCTGAGACATGGGACGACATCACAATGTATGGGTCGTGTTGTTGGAAACCAAGATGATAATTAGATTGGATATTGTTGTGTCACACACAATTGAAATCCGAGTTTTGATGCGTAAGTAGGGGCAAACAATTCTTAATTGTTGGTACCAAAAATAAAATAGCGGATTCAATAGCCCGAGCTGCAACAAGGACTTGGTGTCATTGTGTTAACAAAAAAATAGGTCGAGACTCCATAAGTTCAAGAACTTGAGAACGGAACAAAAGACGGGAACTCAACCGTGTTGAGAATATATATATTTATATTTTAAATAATAATTGTACAGGCCTGCCTTTGATTTGGGCTTCTCCTGCTTCGGCCCAAACCATTGAATTTGAATATTATTAAGAATATATGTTCGGAATAAAATAATGAAGGATTAGGGTTTAATTAGGGAGATTAATCATGATTAATTCAAGTTTATGTGAAGAAGAAGAAGAAGAAGATGATGAAGGTGCAGAAAGACAGAAAAATGGCGATTCCGGTGAGAACACAGAGCATATCCAAAGCATTCTCGATTCTGTCTTTCCGGCCTTTCCTCTTCCTCTTCAGCTCCTCGTATTCTCCGAACCTCAATTTCGCTTCCCCTTTCTGTTCTTTAATTCTCTTTCCCCTTTCCATGGCTTCTCCCAGAATCCCGGAGCTCTCCTTCCCGTTCAAATGCTTCCCTTCCATGTCCAAAATCTGCATACTCACCTCTCTAACGCTCATTTCCATCCCATCCTCTTCTTTCTCACCGCAAATCACCACCACCGAGCACTGTACCATCTCCGTTCTCGACCCCGCCCTCCCGTCGCCGCCCATCATCGTTGTGTATTGTACTTGTATCTCGCCGGATAACCAGTGTCGCCGGACGTTCACTGCCTGCCTACTCGAGACGTTTGCTGCTCTGTTCTTAATTGTGTCGATTACAATCCAACTCGCCGTTAGATTTTGCTCTAGATTAGCTACCCAATCTTCGCGTTTCTCTCGGCGGCGAATCGGCAACGGAATTGAGTCTTTTGGGTCGATTACGTCGACGCGAAATGGGGAGTAGAGGAACCAATTCGTGTTGGTATCGGTGGAGTGGACTTTGGAGAAGAGGGGTTTGTCCTTGTAATGAATGTCCACGGCGGAGATCAATTCGGAGGAAGGGGAACGGTCGAGATCGGAACGAAGCGACCGGCAATCGAGCAGGGGAAATACGTCGGAGAAGAAGGACCGGTGTTCGGAAGGGAAGGCGGAGATGGCTTGCTGGATACGGGGATGAGTGGTTGAGGGCCAGGTGGCAGAGCAAATTTGACGCCAGAGTTGGTCCTCGGCGGAGAGGTGGCGGAAGCGGGAAGAGGCAGAGGCGGCGGAGGCCAGAGCAGGGCCGTCGAGGCGGGTGAGAATATGAGTCTGGAGGATATCGGAGTGGAGGGCGGCAATGGTGGAGGGGAGATGATGAGATGAAGAAGAAGAAGGCATGATTTTGACTTTCAGGCTAAGACGGAGCTTTTTGGGATAAGAAAGGGAGAAGGTTTGAGAGATTTTATAGGACAAAAGTACATTATTATTAAGAAATGGTCAACTTTGGGGGTTGAATTGCAATTTGAGAAAACTTTTGGATGATTTTGAAAATAAAAAAGGGTAAACGAAGGGCATGGTTTGTTCAGGAAGGGAGTCCTTAAAAAGATATTTATAAATTAGGAACCCACATCCATTCTTATCTCTTCTTCAAAATATCTTTGCCTCTCTTTCCATCCATTTTCATCGTTAAACTACACATTAATAGACGTGATTCTGGTCAACTTTAAGGTTAAATTTCTTAAAACTATGTCGAAGAAATCCTAATCTGTAAGCTTAGTCGATCCTACAGCGATGTCTAACAACGACCAGAATTTGAGTTTAATTGTGGTGTTTTACCTAACACACAACCTTATTTCACAAAAGCTATGCTCTAGTAAAAGAAGGAAAGGAAAGGAGAAATGAGATTATACCCGGCTATTTGAACTTGTAAACGATAAGCACCTAAACCTGCCGGTGAAGCTGTTTTGCTTCTAAACCTTCTCTAATCCTTTGAAGAGAAGTTTGCAGTATAGAAGACAAAAACCAAACAACTCGGACCTGCAAATAGAAGAATGATTGATCAAAATCTGTTCAGTTAAAGACTTATGCAACACACCCGTGTGGTTAAGTAAGTTAGTTAAGTGAAGATGATGTATAAATGACTTCGATTCCTAACCAAATCAAACTTTTGGTCTAAACCTCATAAAGTAGTTGGCCAATTTTGTCAACTTGTGTATGCCCAAATTCTTCGGTATGCCCAATTATTGCTCTCTTTATTTTTCTTTTTTCTTTTTTTTTTTTTTCCTTTCTTCCTTCTTAACTGCTACCTTGACTTCTGTTCTTTTTCCCTAAAAAAATCTTTATATGATTAACTAAAATTTTCTACCGACCAACGTAAGCATAACATAACTAACCAACCCATACATCACAATAAATAAATAAATAAATAAAAAGGTCAAAATCTCAAATTCCAGCTCAATTACACTCAATAAATAAATAAATAAAGAACTTTTCTATGGTAACCATTCTCATATTGAAAAAAAAAAATCTTAATATAAATAAAACTTATAATGAATTTTCATTATATTATAATATATCCTCAACTATAATTTCATGAGTGGATTATTCTTTCCACTTGATCAATCAATTTGAGAAGTGAAATAGGCATTTAAATAAATATTAGTGTTAAATATTTCTTCAATATTCAACAAAACCACTCCTACTTGAATTATTAAATTCTTAAAAAAGTTGTTCTTATATATATAATTTAATGAGCCGCCCAGCAAATGAACATATTAATTAAAGATTCCTGGAGGAAAAACTGTCTAAATTTTTCTAAGCCTTTCAATAATTGAAGATAAAATTAAAAATATAATTTAAATCATACAGCTAAAGTAATTGAGAATAACATGAAATAATATATAGTATAGAAGAAGACATACGATGAATTGATGACGAGTTCCAAAGTGGTGCTGCACATTCTCCATTATTGGCTGTCAAGAATATATAAGAATTGTAAATAACGATTTATTTATTTATTAAATTTTGGATTCTTCCCTTTTAGTTTTCCCTTTAAAAGTGTTGGACACCTCTCTTCATCAACGATCAATTAATCTAATCATAGATTAGTTCATTAAAGATGTCAAAGTCATTACAAATTGTATCACTTGACCCACTAATTCTCTTGTTAAAGAAAACACGAGGAAAAAAAAACTAGAATGTATTCTATTTTAATCTAAACTCTTATCACTCATTTATTTTATAAAAATATTGGCTAAATTAGACTATATAGACTTCAATTCTAGTCAACCGTATTTATCAGTCTAAAATAATATAGGCAGGATGAAAGAAAAAGAATATAGGCGGGATGAAAGATGTGGTTCATGAATTCTTTTCTGTGAATCTTTTTCCTCGACTAGAAGTTCCTGGAGAAGAGACGAAAAGAGGCAACGAAATTGTGAGACTGATAGGGAGAGATGTTTTGATTTGTTAAGATCAACTAGTTCGTCATTCGCGATGAGAGAAAGTTAATAGAGCTTGTCCATCACAACACGTGCGATGCCTTCCCCACCAATGTTCGAAAAAAAACATTTTTTGTTGTTCTTGTTTCCAACTCTCTTGAAACGTTCATTCCTTGTAATCAAAATCATACAAGTTGCTTTAGCAACCCGATTGACACAAACACAATAACACAACTTGTGTAGCAAGGAATTTTCTGTTGTGGAACATGTCAACGTCCAGCCTATGGATTCACAGTAGGATATTCTTGATTCAAAGTGGACTTTGGGGTTGCTCCAACATAGGATTACTCAAATCCAAACGTACGTAACTTTGGAGTTTCAATAATTGAGCAACTAACAAAAAAACTTCAACTTAAACGTGCTTTGCTTGGAGCAATACTATGTTGGGTAACCTTTTGATAATTTTACTAGAAGGCGTGAGAGACATGATAAAAAGACTCGTATTGGTCTGTAATGATAGTTAAGGTTGTCAAGTATCGAATCCAGACTCTAGATCTTAACCCTAATCTTGGACATGGAGCGTTATATCAAAAGCAAGGAGTGTAACAGCCGAAAGGACTTCTCCCTAAGACTCCCATCCTAAAATGGTATTCTGCCTGCTAAGCAGGTCACATCAACATACATTATTAGAATACAACGGACCTAACTAAAAGATATGTGATTTTCCAAGTTGCCTGAAACACCTGTCCCATTAACCAAGCAATTCTTTCACCTATGCTCTAGTAGCTAATATGCGGGCCAAGTACAAGCTTAACAATTAAGAATTTCCACATAAAAATACACGTTTAACTTGAAATTCATCTCGGCATAGCCATAGGTTTTGGCACTTGGATAATCACCGGTCATATCAGTAAGTGGATAGGTATTGACATGACTCATGAGGAATATTAATATTGGTTCCTCCAGAAAAACCTTTCTTGGGCAATAATTTGTGTGACAGTTGGAAAATGCATTTGGTAACTTGTCCCTTAACTTTATCTTTGTTGGAGATTATGATTCTAGGACAATTTTGTAAACCACATGTTATCTGCAAAAGTGGTTTTTGTCTAGGTAGGAAAAGATTGGAGGACTAAATACTTGTTGTAAATTCGTGAATAGTGATATTTAAAAGTTCATATCAACCATCCAACAAATTGACAAATAGAGATGTTCTTAGAAAATTAATCTTCATACCGTATATTACAGCTTTCACTATTGGGTGCAAAGGTCTGTATTTGAGAGGTTGGCCTAAAACACAATTTGAAATAAAAATTAGCATAGTTTTTGTAGATAAGACACTTTTACCGCTTCATAAGTCAATGATTTGATCTCTCATTTTTGTAATTATTGAACGTAAATTTTTTTTTTAAAAAAAATAATAATAAATGATATCCTAGCAATGAAGCATACATCTGTGAATGTTTTACCTCATAAAACAAGTTAAAAGCTCGACTATAAAGAATGTCCTGTGACAAGCTCTGATATACCTTTTCTGATACACATACACATTGTTATTCGTTAAAACAAACATAAAAATAAGTTTTGGTTTCTAATAAAAAATTCTCACCACTGAACCATCGAAGAATTAGGAAATCTCGAGTTTATGCAAACATAGCCAGTAAAAAATGCATTTTAGGGAAATCATATATTATATGCTCTCCATCCAAAACACATATCAAAAACAAGAAGGGATCTTTCAAGTAGAAAGGGCTACCTTATTTATATCAGTGGCCGCAACATATCCCCGATCTATCTTCCTCGCCTTCATCCTCTTCCCCATGAAAGATAATACTTGGGGCTATGGAAAATTTTCCAATGTAACCGTAGTAGTAGATACTGTCCATTCAACTACATAAGTATGATGGATCCCACATTAACAAAATAATATATCTATTAATTAGGTGGCTGAATATCAACATCATATTACCAACAACCAAATGTATTTTTGAAGCAATGCCACCGGTCCACATCCTTAGTTTCTTCAAGTGGAAAGTCCAAACACCTAGAAAAAGATAATGGTAGCCTTTTCAACATGTATACATTCCATGGAGTAGTTGAGCAAAATAATAAAAGTGGATATGGGGAGAATTACAATCACATCAAAAGAAACCAGACAGAATAAAGTTAAGACTAAGAGTGAAATTTTCTACAAGGATAAACTCAAAACCTTCTCTCCATGAAATTCCTCCTCTGCTGATGGGGACAATTTATGATCCTTTCACTGAAATCCTCTAGAACGTCATCAATTGGATCCTGACAGAAGATCTCTATAGTGCATAGGAAAATATCAGGCCTTCAGGTTAGGGCAAGATTTAAGCTGAAGATTAGAAGAAAAATAATACACACTGATAAAGATTAGGGCAAGATTAAAGCTGCAGATTAGGGAAAATTCATGAAGAACAAGCTAATCATAAAAGACTGTTAGTTGAATACAAAGAAAAAAGTAATTCATGAGTGTCAACTAAGAGAAGGAAAATTGGATAAGGGTTATGGAAGTAATTTGACTTTTCAGATGGCGAAAGTGAGCGTGCAATAAATAAAAGTGTAGAAGAAATTGAAATGAAACGCTACCAAAAGGGATCTCTACAGCGCAACGCAAAGTGAAGCCTTCTTCTCTGAAAGAAAGAACCGACTGGACCGATTTACGTCTTATTTGGTCTTTTTGGAGCGGTTCGCACCACAGACCAAGGAGATCGGTCCAACGGTTTTCCATGCTTTAAGCCCCTTTACACTGCAATTATAGGATATAAAATAAAAAATAATAATAAAAAAAAGAAGTTGACTCCAAGTCAGGTTTGCATGTGGTACAGTCAATCTATTCAAACCGGAGGCAAGAAAAGGGGAAAATGACCTTTGAAATAGCAAAATCTTCAATTCAAATAAGACATGGCAACAAATATCAAGCAATTTACAAAATGAAAATAATAAAGATAAACAAATAGTCAGTTGCAAAAGTACAACGCGACCAGCTTTCCAAGAGCAATTGCACACATACTGCAACCACAGGAGAAGAATTTACAGGGACAAATCTAGAAAGTTTGCAGCTTTATGAACATGGTATTGTATGTTAAGATTCTGTGGTGCAAAGCCGCTGAATCCATCCTTCGATTTGAAAGTCCCGCAGATGAGCTTAAAACCCATCATCATAGCATACCCGTTGAGGAATTTAAGATCTGCAAGAAGATAGAGTAATGCCCCCACAGAAAGCAGCAACTATTGCATACAGCAATACTATGATCAAGCATGTCATCAGAGCTCTGTAAAGATGGAAATATACGATTCAATGAGAAACATAGGTGCATTAAAGTGTCAAACTGACTTAAATCTCTACCAAATAACCAAAATACAGAAAAGTCAGACTTGTGACTACGTTCCTGCTTAGGTACTCATACCATCATCGGGTTTATTTCAATCATGAAACCAAAAAATTGATTGTTCTCCAAAATTTTCAGTAAGCAACATAGTTAATTGTGATCTTTAAAAAAACGGTATATCTCAATCCATACATATTACATACATTTTCATGACTATCATTATTCTTTAAGATCCCTGTGACTGTCATGCTACGAACTACATGGGCTGTTTGGAAAATATGCTTGAAAACAATTTTCTGTTTTTAAACACAAATAATAGCATTCGAAACCAAACTAAGCAAAGGTCAACTGGACATATGTGCACTTGACCAAGGGGTCAAGGTTGGAATCCTCCCACTCCACTTGTTGAACTAAAAAAAAAAAACAAAAAAAAAAAAGAATAGCCATTCAAAAACCATGTTGGACAAAAGATTTCTGAAAACAGTTTCCAAAAGAAAAATAATACATAATGGAAATAATGCTGTGTAGCCGTTCTTGTTTTCTACCGTAGCTATTCAGACACCTTTTTATGAACATAAAAAATATATTATTACTTACAAAAGTTTGGCATTTTTCATCCAAAGTGCTCGATGAAGTCGTTTAGACTGTTTCTTGAAATGAAATGCACCATCTTGCATTGTTGCAGTTTTATCAACAAGAAGTTCAATACGATCACCTCTCTCCAATATTTTTTCAATATTATCCACCATAATTGTCCGTATCTGCAAAGCAGATTTAAGTTTTTCAGAACAGAAAAGAAGCAGGGAGACATGGCACCAAAGCCAAAGGGACAATGAGAAAAAGCATATGCAAATACAGAATAAAATATAAGAAGTGTGGTAACGAACCTGCCCATTCCTGGACACGATAATCAGTTTTAAGGGAAAATATGGCCTTCAGATCTGTTTGTGTAAACCTTTTCTTATCTATTCTGTTTTGAAAATTTATCAAAGAGCTTTTAGAAAGCTTCACTGAGGAGGAGGAAGAGATTATCTTATCCATTAGTTATTAATTCTGTACTCATTAGTGAAAGATACCCTACACAAAATCTTAAGGAACAAAGAAAATTACAGCATGAAAAAGTAATCTGGTGACGCTATGATGGGAACCAGAAATTGAAGTAGAACATTAATTCTTATAACAAAAAGAGAACACATGGATATGATATGTAATAACATTTTGAAAGGTCCTTCGATCTCGCATCTACACAAGTATTTGTATTTCCTATGCCTAACCCCACATCCGCTCTATCTATGGTTAACACTATCAAACTCACTAAGTATGACTAAGATACTCCTAATAACAATCTTAACCCAATTCTACCGTTACCCCACCCTAAAATACGTCTTCTCAAGGTGTGGGTAATAGCACCTGAATCAAACAATTCCTTCCTCGTACCTTGCCAACAGTTTAAGAGCCCAATAGAGCAGCTAAACTAAAAATTCTGACTTCTTTTTTTCTCTTCTTTTCTTTTTTTTTTTTTTTTTTTGCTATAGAGCTTACATGGGAAAGGAGATATTTCTCGACTACCTTGTGAAGAGCTTGCAAACATTCCATGGACAAGAACTAATTAAGATTGGCCTGGCCTGCCTATCATGCAGTATATAAGGAATTCCAAATCTCCCAAAAATGCTTGGTCCGGGAAGTAAGAAGCAGATTTGAATGTTTAAGGTTAAAATTTAAGATCACTTTTGAGTGCAGATCCAAAATTCCCTAGGCTAAATTGGTTCCGTATCACAACATCAGACGACAAAGTTTCACTTCTTTTTGGCAAGCCATTTTATCAGCAACTGGTCTTTCAAAGAATTTTATGATGATGCAAATGCATTACTTGGTTAGGAGCAACTCCAATTCAATGGCTGTGGAACTTTACCTCATGTGATTGAAGTTGGCACAGTCTACCGTAATTGAACTCAAACAGACAAGCCAATTGACAGAATAGAGAATGCTAAAGGGAAAGCATTGTTGTACTAGTATTGAAAGAAAGTACACATTTAACAAAATTGTGAAATGTCTGATGCCTCTTTAACAACCAGTTGCATGTCTGCCCCGTCTATGCTTACATTACTCCATACATACAAAACATGTCCCAGCCTAACTAAACCATCATTAAATCTCCCGTACAATCTTCCAAGCATATATGAAGTGTATGGGAGGCTAATTAATCCTATCATAAAACTACAGCAACAATTCTTAATGAGCCTTCTGCCTACAGATTTTTAAGCCTATCCGTGGACTTAGACTTTCCTTCTTAGAAAATATCAAACATGAGGAAAAAAGACCGAAGATAGCATTCCATCAAATGAAGCCCAATGATACGTGAGGAAAAAATATTGGCACATTACCCATTTTCAACCAACTTTCCGTAAATTTTTGGTCCAATAATCATTCCCAATTATGATGGAAGTGGAAATTTAAGAAAATTGTGTATTAAAGCTAAAAGAGAGTACTAATATGTTAACCTTCTCCCACCCCCAAACAAACTCACTCAATTCATAACCACTTAACTCTAATAAGATTACTGAGTCTGACTAATAGAACCTTAGTAACGTTATCACAATCCTATGACATTAGCACTACAAATTTTGAGTAAACAAGAAATGAACAAAGAATAATGTTTCAGAATATTAGTGAACTACCAAGTTCTTTAGAAAGAAGAAGATGCGACTACCAGGCTTTGTTCACATGTCAGGAAATCTCAAGCAAGAAGACGAAATATTTAAGCAAGGAGGAAATTTTGTTTGAGGAACAGCCACATCTTTGTTTGACAAATACCTAAAAGCATCCCCCTAAATTTAATTACTTAAATGAATGAAAGCATCAATACATGTCTTACATTCTATGCAATCTTGCAATTCAGATATTTTAACTGCAGCCAGAATATAAGGCATGCTGTATTAGTAGAATTCTGTAAGATAAAGACAGACTCCATCCACTAAAAGAACTACCGGCGTGGTGAATAATTGTAGCATTCCCATAAAGTTGTATCTATGCAGGATAAAAACAATATACTTGCCTCATTTACTTCACCTCTAACACGGTTAAGGGTATCAGCACTAGGATTGCTGGAAAAAAATTCCATTTGTTGATGTAAGACTCTTGAAAATTCATCATTCATTGCATATGCAGGAGCATAATGGGCCACTCGACCATAATTTTTCATGAACCTCATATGGATATCCTCCAAATAAGAGAAAGGAACTCTCCCTGGAACAATAAACCAATAACTTCAAAACTAGAAAGGTTAAGGACCAACGATCTTGAAACCTGAAACGAGATCTAACGGATGATACCAACAAGTTGGATGTTGAAATCAATTTAGCAACTGATAACTGATAGTTGAAGAAGTTGCTTCAGAATTATTTTGGCATAAAATAGACTCATAAGAAGAAGGAAAAAAATCAATTAATACGTTCGTGAAAAGAGAAAATTGATCGAACATTGTCAGTTTCGGATCCCCTCTCTCAATAAAACGTGATTTCATAAGCAAAAAAAAAAAAAAAAAACGCCCTGTGCTCTGGATAGTCTGGAAATCTCATACATAGTAACTAGTAAGTTTCCAAAATAAGAAACCAATAACTTTCCCCTTTCTTTCGTATTTAAGAATCTGTTGACAGCAAATTGAAGGTAAACACAATAAATTAAATTATACGAAGCGATCCACTTCCTACAGCTAAACCTAGTGGCGCAGCTTCGATCTCTCTATAAGTTGAAAGCACAGATATGCAGAACACCAACAATATCTATTTCCCTCCGACTCAGACCAGTAAACAAGAGGCACAAAGGCAGAAATCGATAACAAAACAAGGAGAAATACTTACTGCCGAACGTATCGTTCGCCATACACAGGAAGGTGAGGCCATCGGATCTCAGAATGTGAAAGATGTAACGTTCCTGAGAGAAACAGAGCCTAGAATCAGCTTCATCCGGCAGCTTCTCGAGAATCCGCCGCGCGACAGCGCCAGTATTTCCGGCAACAGCACTGAACTCCGCCAATATCACCGTACCTCGCGCCACCACCGCATACAGGATAGCCATTTCTTTCTGCTAATGGAACCGTCTGCTTCCACCTAGCGCCTAGAA